TATCTACGTTTTGTAGAGAATTTGACAAGGAATCTTTCTATAAAAAAAATTTTTTTCTTAGCTGAATTATAGGTGAGAAATATGCAAAATACTGAGAGGGTCATTCATTATGGCCCACCCGTGTGTTCGTTTGTAATAATCGAAGCAGTTTTTATTCGATGAGCTACAAAAGAAGAAGCAAAACTAAAAGGTTATGACATGTACATCGATCGTTATCATTCATTCCGAAACTTTAAATAAAGCCATTCAACTTTATGTGGTTGTGTATCTACCTAAAAATGTTTTCAATTCAATGGCCAAGGGTGAAACAGCTGACTCCAGTCCCGTGGAGTTCCGGAGTCCTCAAAAGTAGAATATTACATATTTTCTTGTCTATTCTCGGTAGATATCGCTATATGTATAGAATGACCATATCGTAGAAAATTCATTATTATAAACACACGAAGAAGATTATTTCTTTATTTTAGAAATACCGATAACAATTCTTTTTAATGGAAAAAAACTTGTCATTCGATTTAGTTAATTTTGGTGAATGTTTGCAAGTTGAGTGAATAGATTTTGAATGATTGTAAGACGTGCATTATGACCGGATGCTTCATTAATAGCAAAGTAAAAATACTGTTCATTAATACGATCATGTTCTGATAAAATTTCATTGATAAGACCACCTTGAGTTTTATGTTCAGCAGCCATCCAAAAAAAAATTGCTTGATAATCAACAAATCGCGAATTGCTTACTTTCCATTTTAGATTGAAACGAAATTCGAATGGTGTCATTACATTTGTTAAAACTTGAGCGAGTGGATCTGCAGCATAATTCGGTGGTTGAGTTAAAACACATTCTGATCCACCAATAACTGTTGGTATAGTTATGTTTGGTGATTGATTTGCTTGTAGACGTTTGATAACTTCGAGTGCAAGTAGACCTGATGCTGTATGATGATCATGTGAATTAACATTTGGAAGCATAATAAGCATTATATCATAACCATCAGCACCATTTCCAGTTTTAATGGTTCGTTGAAATTGTTCAATGACCGATTCTTTGTTCCATTGTTCAGTAAAGATTTGATTGATATCGCGAGTAGATTTTAAATCAAATTGATCGTAGAAGAAATATTTTCGAATACCTGCTATTCGTCCACTACCGAATAGTTCCTGTTGACGTATGCGTGGTAAATGTTTTCTACCATAGTTTCTGTAGATAATTTTAAATTGTCATACAATGATTCAGATGCTCCTGCATGTGCATAACCACCTTCACCATTTGTTACACATAAAAGATCAACCGATGCATTGAGTTTATGTGTAAGAGCATGAATGAAACCACCAAAAAGAATTTCATCATCAGGATGTGCGATGACAACAAGCACAGCTAATACAGTAGTCAGAGCGACGGCCATTCTTTTAATCCACTAAAACTGGAATATTTACATTCTTGATTTCATATTTAATTCTACTAAGTTTTCTTTCAACAATTTAAGATTGATATTCTCGTTATTCATGCTGATACATACTTTGATGCAGACAATAGTGTTTTTCTTTTATGATTTAACGTCGAATATTATTTCGTCGCCATCATTTTATGTTACCTTTCCAATTTTTGCTGTGTCAATATTATGATAACAATTGCCATCGAATGATATGTGCATATAGACTGAGTCGAATTTAATCTTTCCATTGTATTGTGACGATGCAATATTGTAATAAGGAGTGATACTTTATCTTTAATTATCGTCGGTAAAGTGTAGCAAAGCAATTTCATTTTACTAGACGACTTACTCCATAACATTGAATAGAACTGGAATGTCAATGGCTATCTGTAAAATACACAAACACCTGCGAATATCTCGAAAGAAAGATAGCTTTAATCTATCTATATAGGCAGATAGAACTCGATGACTTATACTCACGAACACGTACTTCAAATAGATGAGAAAGTGGATTCGAATGGTACAAGTCGAAATTTTACGCGAACACCACTTGCATATCTGCGAACACCTACGAACATCAGACCAATGAAAATGAACACTCATTTCAATCAATTGTGATCCAAAATTTGTACACTCTATGGGAACTATGTCTATAAATATCTATTAACACTTTTTCAACCGTACTTTGACATAGATAATCGTCTACGAACACCAGTTATTTGAGAAGATTTCACTTGAAAACATAATGCAAAAGCTGTTTGACATGATTCTTATCGAACGTAGTGCATAAAAAATTGATCTAAATGTGAAAGCTTGATTACGAATTATGGTAAAATAGCTCATGATCAAGCTTTCACATTTAGATCAATTTTTTATGTCGTACGTTCGGCAAGAATCATGCCAAGCAGCTTTTGCATTATGTCTTCAAGTGAGATCTTCTCAAATAACTGGTGTTCGTAGGTGTTCGTAGATATGCAACTGGTGTTCGCGTATTTTACAGATAGCCCCGACACACTGACTCAGTGGCTCAGTGACGTCACTGAGCCACTGAGTCAGTGTGTTCAGTGAGATCAGTGTCAATGTATCAGTGCTGTCAGTGTCAGTAATTCGGTGTACAGACCGACACTGGTCCATCGCTACATACAGTTATTCAATCATACGTTCAATCTAATATCTATCGAAATTTAGTCTGTGTATTATGTTCAGTGAATAGCGCAAATAATTGTGATGCTATCTATCACAATAGACTATAGTTTCTTTAAGATTCAGTGGGCACAACGTTTGCCAAATTCGACAGACAATCTACTTAGGGCATACCAAAAGTAGTGGCGGAGGTTCTGTAATTCCTTATAAAAAGCTTTAAGAAAATTTCTCTCTCTATAGTCTGAGAGAGGAAAGAATGCTCTATTTTTCTATGCTATTTGATCATACTTTAACTAATATTATAATAATGAAATTTCGATAAGATCTGTTTTGTTCGCATGTGTCACGACAACATTAGCGCTCCTTTTTAAAAAAAGACGGATCAGTACGTTTTTGATTAACTATTGATAGGAACAAGATAGGGAACTGCAGTATTCACCATTGGAAAGAGCAGATGAATACGCATCGAATCGTACATTCCGGGATTTTTTGTAAGGTTTTCAGTTGACCTTTTTAAGTTCAACCTATCTGGTAAGTTGTTTACAATGAATTTTCAATTATCAAGTATAAATTCAGATCACTAATTGAAGAACTACAAAGTGCCAGAGGCTGATATGAATAATATGTGTTTTAGTCGAGCCTCTTGTACGATTTTCCAGCGAAATCTGTGAAAAAAACTCACTATTTTTTGCTTTGTCGTTTTTTCATAAAAGAACCAGTTTTTCGACAGTTAGAAAATTAAATAAAAAGACTTCAGAAATCATATTAGAAAAACCTATAATATACGATTCGATGTGCCTTTATCTGTTCTTTCCGTTAGTGAAAACCGTAGCTCTGTATCTTGTTTCTATCAAAAATTATTCCAAAAATAATCATGAATATTCATATAACCAGCACGTATGCAAACGAAACAGATCTTATTAAAATTTTATTATGATGATATCAGTTGAAGCGTGATTAAATAGCATAGAAAAATAGAGCGTTTGTTTTTCTATCAGACTATAGAGAAAGACAGGTTTCTCAAACTTACTATGCGGTATTAAACTGCAACTCTCACTACTTTTGGATCGCCCTAAATAGTATTAATTGTTGATTAGTTCGTTCTTTTTCTTTTTATTGTTGTTATTCATTGATTATTTTTATTTTATTTTATGTTTTTCTTTTCTTTTCCTTATATTTTTTAAAATTTTTGTTGCTAATTGATTTTTCTTGTTGCTTTTTGAATCTTAGTTGTTTATTTTCTTTTATTTTGTCTTTTTCTTATTGTTTTTTATCGTTATCTTTATTCTTTTTCTTTTCTTTTTGTCAAATTAGTTTTGTAGCTATAGATGATTGCTACTGATGCTGAAGAAATGGCTTCAGTTCTCAATCGAATAGTACA